ATAGTAAGTACATAAATAAATAAATAGGTAGAATAAATAAATAAACACATACATAAATAAAGGCTTCAGTTTGACATCAGCCTGTGTACAGCACTGAACCATTTCTGGAAACTGTTTGTTTTCATTTTCTATGAGCAAAAGGAACACTATTAAAATTGGACAAAAAAAAGCCTGGAGGCTCTTCCCCAGAGTGAGAGTTGAAATATAGATAGGTTCAAATCTAGCAATTTGTTAGAGCAGCTAAATACGAGGGTTTCAAAAGAAACACGTAAGTCAAGATGGTATAGCTCCACTGCTCCACTGCTTTTATGGTTCAGAAATGCTTTCCATAAAAAAGGCTGCCTACTTGGAAGATTTTATATAAGCAAAGTGCTGTGAAGTTTTTATAGTATGCCGTTCAATCTGTTTCGCAGAAAAATGTTATTTTTGACTACCATAATCTACCTCTGTTCAACATCATCATCTAGCTGCTGTTAAAATCATCTTGGCTTTGGCACTGAGGCTACATCGTGCTCCTTTGCATCTCTGACTTCTCTTTGCTGTACCATGCAAACCCTTACTGTTTTTACCCCCTGGGCAGTAAAGGTTGGGTCTACCCACCTGCTCCTTTCTACTTAGACTCCAGCAAATACGGCTTGCTGCAAACTGACCTCCCCAGAGATACTCTCTATGTCTGTGCTGGCAAGCCAGTAACAAGCTTGAAGACCCAGAATTAGGATTTCTGTACTCAGAAATACCTCTCTTTCCAGCCACTTAGTTTTTCTCTGCGTTGGGGATTTCCTTTTTTATTCACAAGAGTCTTACAGTAGTAGAGTTTCCACTCATTTTCCTTGTTATCCAGGGAAATTTACTGCATTGTCAATTGGCTGCTGATATTTTTTCAAGTACTCTTTACTCACAGTTTGATCAGGCACAGATCAGGTACAGAGATTAGCTTGTACTTCAATTCATCTTTTGGAAGATCTTTGTTTTTAGACTCTATTCTTGAACAAATACTGGCAACACTCCTATCTGAAAACATACTGCTATACTTGCCCAAAGTTTGTTAGCTTAGCAGACACCCCTGCCAGTTAAAGTTTTGACTACAATATCCATGGTAACAAAGGCAGAAGGCTAATAATGGACCAGCAGGAGTACTTCAAAATCATTTCGGCTAACCCTGTCCTAGCCAGCTTCTTGTACATGCTTCAGCAAATTCTTCTAGGACAACAGTCATTGTTTAAATGATCATTCGCAAGCATTAGTAATTCACTGCTGCATTCTTTCTGGTATTCAAGAGTGAAATGAGTCCTTCTCATAGGATTGAGAGAACTATTTGAGGCTGTTTTCCTCTCTGCTTCCCCACTAAGGATGCTGTGAATGTTGGGCAACAGAGGGAGGAGAAATTCAGAGTGGACTCTCTTAGACTAAAATGAAAAGGCTGTTTTGGCACTCAACATAGGAATGCAAAACCTGTCCTGTATTGTGCCCCGCATTAATCAGACACTGTAGTTCTTTAAAAACAAAAACAACAAAAACCACTGTGTGACTTTCAACTTGAAGTTTCAAATAGGTGGTTTGTGTAGAAGTAGAGTTTGACCTCATCTTATTTCACATAAACACAGAAGGCTTCCTTAACTCTGTGTGTACTACGGTACCATAAGGGAATGAAGTGCTCAAATCTCATGAAATCCATAAACACTGAAAAGCAACATGTGCAACAGCCCAAGGGCAACGTGTGGCCTTTGAGCTACACGTGACTCAGTAGCAAGTCAAGCCAAGGCTAGGTTACAAATGTTAATTACTCCAGATTTTTGGCTGGGAGGGGAAAGTGGGAACCGTTAGGGATTGCTGAGACCAGTAATGCTTTCTGGGCTGCAGCTGTGTGCTCAGTCCCATGCCCTCACACAGTGAGGGAGTGGAATCCCTTGAGCGCTATCAGGATGTTGCTGCCAATGCAGCAGTCCCGCACTTAAATTCCCTTAGCTCTGAGGTAGGTAGATCTTGGCTAGTTGCTCATCCAGTCTGAAATGCTAGCCAAACCATGTGCTCCCTGAGAGTTCAGCTGACAGGGCTATAGGAATGTGCCGGCCTTTTGCATTCATGCAATTGGAGCACAGTAGTTTGCATGGCGCAGGCAGGAGGGACACAGTTGGCGTGTCACCCTTCCTAATGGTTTGGCTTTATAGACCAGGTAGGCATTTGCTACTCCTTCAGAGAAGCATGTTGCTGTGCCCAAGTTCACAGCAGCAGACCCACAGCAAGAGGCTCAGCTGGATGAATTTTGCTCCCTGCCTCATCTCTAGGGCGTTAGCAACAAACTCACAGGATGCTATGAGGTCTCCTTTCCAAAAAGGCCCTGCCTTTCACAGGGTACCGTGCACAAACCAGTCCCACTGTGGAGCCTTTTCTTCCTTGGGTGAGAAGACTAGATACCAAGATACTGACAAAAGTATGTGACTTTTGGTATTCTTTTACCTAAAGTCAAAACAAGAAATGCCCAGAAGTCTCCAAAAACATTTGAGACAACTTAACGTGAATAAGCATCCTTACTTTGTGTGCTTATTAATCTCTAATTTATTTAAAAATGCTTCACACACCATCTTCATTACCTGAAAAGTAACCCCAGCTATGAAACTCTACTATGCCATGTAACTGCTTTTGGCAGAAAATGACATCACACTTTATTAATCCCTTGGGAAGGAGGGGTGGGAAGGGAAGGAATAGAAGAAAAACTTCATTTATCTGAAGCCTGGAATGATTTGCAGCCAAATATATGATGCTTAAGCAAGTGTGCATAAGTATGGTACACTTCACAGTTCATCAAAATATTAGTCATACTTAGAAAACACGTATTTTAAACTACCATTAATATTTATGTCCACTACACATCTCCAGGAGAGTTGTTTCATACACATATTTCCCTATCCAATTTGTGGCATAATTTTTTCCATGCCTCTTGACATAGTTAATCAAATTGCACTCACGCAAACTCCAATACCTGCCGAAGGCAGCATGCGAGGTTTGTGAGTCAGATCTGTATGCTGTAGTAGTGTTGAAGCAAGATAAGTGTGGCACTTGAAAAGCTGTCACTTCCAAGACCTACGAATGGAAATCCACCTCAAATTATTTCTGTAGATATTGCTACTAATGAAAACAATATGAACTTTCCCAGATTGAATTAGTTGAGCGTGCTTCAACACTGAACAACAGGATATCAAGTATGTAGAAACGCAAATATTTTTCCTCTAGAATATATAAATAAATTGTAGTTCAAACAGTACAGCACTGGAAGGCTTATGAATTCCACTGAAATATTATTAAAGTATGCATCATTTGTACTGAGTAGCTCCTGTGATTATAGGCTGCAGTTGCACTACGCTCTTTAGAAACACGAAAGAGAAGAATCATGCCTCCTAGTATGAGAAAACCAATGTATGTAGATTGCTCCAAAACTAATGCCTCCAATTCATTTCCATAGAAACTACAACAGTTGCAAAGAGCACAGTAACACAGTGTAATAGAGCACATTCTCAGCTGCAAAACACTATTTTTCAACTCAGTCACCACCACTAGCTGTGCATTTTTTGCCAGCAATGAACAAGCGCCTGTATGCTGCACCCATAAAAATCTGCACCAGTTGAGATGACCACTGTCATCACTGCTGAAACAAACCACCCCTTGCCTCACTGTGTTCACATCCACTGGTTCGTCAACATCCAGCAAATGTCAATAAATGTCAGTGGGTGCCATTCTTTGTCCATGGAGGAATTCAACAACATGCCTTTTCTTTCTATGCGCTTCCATGCCATTTGGTCAGGCTGCCCCTCAGCTGCCATCTGTTTCATGGCAACAAAATGTAACAGAATATTGATGAGAAGATTCAACCTCTACAGCCATGCCACCTCTGATGTTGTGGGCCATCGTAATAAAATAGGGGCATTACTTTCGGAGCAATTCTTGTATTTCAGCTGTTCAGATAAATTTGCAACACTTTAAGCTACTCTTTATTTCTGGTGCTACACCTTGGTCCTGTTTCACTACCAAATTTCAGCTTTAGAATCCCCGAATTTTGGACTGAATGCTGAATACATTGCCCTTACCATTACATTATAGCACATTACTTACTAGAGGTAGACTGTAGTAAGAGTAAGGGAACAGGGCTTGGCTTTGCATTATTCTGTCCTTTCATTTCTCTCTCTGAGCAGTTATGCTAGCCAGCTCACTCTAGAAATAGCCATGAAAAGCAGACATAAAGGAACAACAACAAAATTCATGCTGCTTACTGGCTTGCTGTAGGTAGCTTCAGTAATATCTTTAGCTTTTATAGACTGCACGTGCCTTCTGAAAGTTTACGTATTTAGAAGCAGAGCACTTATTTTCTTTTGCAAGCAAAGCTTTCAAGTGACTAAGCCAGTACAACAGGCCTTAAAGGTTTGCACAGACTCCAACTCCTTGCTGTTGGGAAAGACAGAAGTTGCTGTTCCATTACTTTTCCTTTTGCTGAACAATTTTAAGCAGGTTTGTCGCAATCTATTTTCTTTTAAGTCGGTTACTCCTAAGGAGACCAGTCCATCATTCTGCATACTTAGCGATTCTCTCAGTTTCTTATTTATCACAACAATCCAGTCATTTTTTTTAATACAGACATTTTACATTAATTTAACTCTTCAGAACGAAGCAAGCTATGCAATGAAATGAAAACTGCACTTTAGAGCCACCACAAAGCAGAAAACTGAGTGAGTATCCAGTTATTAAGTACAACACCAACTATAACTGATGATTCATACCATCACGTATAGCCACGTCTTTTGGGGGAGTCTTCTTTCTTTGACTTGGATCATATAAAACAACTAAGAAATTTTCAGACAGACAAGAGAACAAAGATTCTTCTTTCTAGGAAGAATCTTTTTTCCTTTCTAGTTCCCAAAAGCAGTAGCTTTGTCTTTAGCCAGTTAGCTAGAAATAAAGTAAAATGTAATCAAAATATAAACTACAATGTCTAATTATTCTATTTTCAGGTGCTTTTCTTATTCCCTACATCCTCTTCCTAATCATTGCTGGAATGCCCCTGTTCTATATGGAATTGGCACTGGGACAGTACAACCGAGAAGGAGCTGCCACCGTGTGGAAGATCTGCCCAGTGTTCAAAGGTAAGCGTCCCCCTGCTCCCTTGGAAAGCACAGTGAGGGTGCCAACACCTGCAACCACAAACAAAGGAAAGGTCTTGTCTTTTCACAGACAGCATGATATTTGCTGACCTTTCTCTAACTCTTGAAGTCAGAAGCCTTTTTGTTACCATGGGTGAAGCAGAAAATGAAAAAAGCCGCACACAGAAATCATCTTGCAGGCTATTGCTCAGGAGTGCAGCAGAGAGCAATAAGCAGAAGGAACTGTTCAACCCTGCCCCCCTTTTGGCTGCACGCTGGGGATGGGGGGAGTTGGGTTTTTCTGGGTGGAAGGAGGGGCTGGAGATGCAAAAGATTAGAAATATCAAACCTCATCCATGTCAGTTCAGCCCTGTCCCCCTCTGTAACACGCAAGCAAGAAGTAGCTGGGGCTAGCTGCTGGGGGCACTGAGGGGCTGTCTAAAGTGGTGTTTCTGGAGGAAAGAAACCGCGTGGCATCTGTATGTGAAACACTTCTTAAGGAGCCTCAAGAATTTTCTTTACCATTGCTTACCAGCAAAAATCATGAGCTACCCAATGTAAAATCTTTTTGACACACAGCTATCAGAAATCACTGAAATGAAACCACTCAAGCCTGACTGATCCTAGAAGCTTAAAATTCAGATCATGTTCATCCCATGACAAAAGCTGAAGAGCTTAACATTGGCAATCCAAACTCGGCAGATCCGGAACTTGGATATAGGTTATACTGAGTAAATGTTAAACTTCTTTCTCAAAATAAAGCTCTCCCCTTCCAGGAGGCTACAGTCACAAAACAGGAGAACTGCAGAGGTTGGTTATTATTTCATATCAGTCAAACCCAAAACTCATAGTAAAATTAGAGATGTACTAAAAGATAAATAGGTGAGCTAGTAATAAAGATGTCCCTGAATTTAAAAATGAGGTCACGTAGGTTTGCCTAAGCCTTCTGTAATTCTTTCATGGAGGCAAAATTCATCCCAGCACCCAGGAACCTGCAGCCCTTGCTCAGTCAAAATTCCAGCTGGCCTCGGTTAATGACTTTGGATGACAAAGAAGATTTTGCAAATTTGACTGTAATAATTAGACCACAAGGACCTGAGTGTTTGAGCCCAGCAGCACGGTGCTCTGAAGCAGTCTGTTGACTTCAGGACTGAAATATAAAGAGACAGGAAAGTAGAACTTATTTCATGTACAGGCTTGTTGAAATTCCAGCTGCCTTTTTTTCTGCTGACATATTCAAGGTGGGCTAAAAATACACTATTGTGATTTTTGAATGTTCTTATTACTGGATATAGATGAACCTGAGTTGTGTGATCCTTGTAATAAATATTGGATTTTATTTCATCTCAGCACTACTGCAAACTCAGTATTGTTAAAGTTTTGATCAATATGATAAAGCATGCACACATTTTACTGCTAAATTCATAATGCTTCTGAGTTCTTTTATGGTTTAACTCAACTGAAAAGTACACAGTCAACCCAAATTTATAATGGCTTTCCTAAAATAAAAGCATTGTAGTACTAATTTTAGCTATGAATATTATTGCCATGATCGCTAAGGGCTCTGCTTCTTGTGTGATGCTCTCACAATGCATGTGATTTAAAATATACCCTGTAACCTTTGCAGCAAAACCTTTTCATCTCTGCATTTTCCAGCACCTATTTTAGAGTGTGGGTGGTGCAGCGCTGCATTTAAAAAGTCAGACCTAGAAACAGGAGAACACATTCATTCCTGAACATCCTCATAATTTCAAAGAAGTGGCATTGATGATATATTCGATAGAGTATTTCTGAATCTTGATATGAAATGTCTGCAATTGTCCCCCTGAACAGAGATCATCTAATTTCAGTGCAACTTATTATTCTCATTTAGTATTTTACCATTTATATTAACAATTAATTACCCTCTTAAGTGATTTATTTTTCTTTCTATTATGTTTATTGTAATATATCACTGGAGTTTGAGTGTTCATTTAAACACTAAGGATTTCAGGATACAGTTTTATCTTTCTTTTCACTATCTGTCCCCAGTGCTAGGGATGAACAACCTGGCTTGTATATACTAAAAACTTCCCAAGGAAGAAAAACTTTGGTTCAGTCTTTGAGCTGCCAGCTTCTTCAGTCTGCATCTGTTTCTTATGCAAATGTCAAACCAAGGAAAGTTGTGGGCTAATTCACTGCTTTATCAGGGAATGTGACAGTTCAAAAATATCCAACTGTTAGGCCTCCAAGGCAGTATTTTACTAGAGAAAATCAAAAATGAAAGTTTACACTTACGTGCTTGTGACACTGCTGTGATGGTAGCAATAAAGCAGATGAAGTCTCTACCCATAACACAAAATACAGAGAACCCTAGGATAGGATTCACAGATCAGTCCTGCTCATAGATTAATGGAAGAACAATATTAGCCAAGATAAAACACGCTTCCTGAATAATTGTGACAGTAAGCTTTTATTCTGTTCTGCCGTTAAGTAACAAAGCTTCCATCTAAACTATTAAAAACCAGATATTATTTAAAGGAGAAAGCTGTCCCTCTTAAGAGACACTCCAAGCACACCTCAACAGTATGCAAAAATACAAAGAAATGTTTGAAGCATCAGAGGATGCTTAACACTGGAATTCACCAAATGCCCTGCCCAGACTTAGGTTTAAATTTTCTGTGACTTCCATTCTATAATCCTGGGGATACAATGATATCTCCAGTTTAGCAGAGTTTAGCCCCAAGACTGATATACAGTAAGATTTACTCGTATAACCACTTGCACCACTCAGTGGAACAGCGTAGGCTGTTATGTGCATGTTTTGGACCTAGTCACAAACTGATAGATGCAATCTGGAGAGGAACAATGGTAACGAAACAAAAGGGGAATGCTGTCTGATCCAAACAAGCTCAGCAGGAGGCATAGGGAAACTTCAGCTTTACTTTTCCAAGAAAAGTTGCCAAGGATTCCAACACAAAGATGAAATGAATTTCACTCCTAACATGGACTCACAGTCCTTTGCATTGGAAGAAAAACCCCAGTGGCGTTGAACAAAAGCAGATTTTGACACTGAGCTGCCTAATTTCTTTCTCTGGCAAGACAACTGGATTTCCTAAAGGCCAATCACTTTCCAACTTCATTAATGTAATTACTTGTTTTAAGATCAATGGCGTGCATGTAAACATTAAAAAAAATATATCTGCCTGAGAATCTAAAAAAAATTGCAATTATGGCTGAGAACTAAACTACAGTGTTTGCATATACTGTTGCAGATAAAATGCAATGTATAATCTCCTTTTCCTTTGTCTTTAGGTGTAGGCTACGCAGTGATACTCATAGCTCTTTACGTGGGTTTCTACTACAACGTTATCATAGCTTGGTCTCTGTATTATCTATTTTCATCATTCACATTTGAGCTCCCCTGGACGAACTGCGACAACAGCTGGAATAGCCCAAACTGTACAGATCCCAAACTCTTCAACGCGTCAGTGCTTGGCAATGGCACCAAATACTCCAAGTATAAGCTCACTCCTGCTGCTGAATTTTATGAGTAAGTGTTGACTTAACTTTACTATTTATTCAAAATTGTATGTCTAAGAGTGTTTCCATTGGAAGATAAAATAGGTTAGCATCCAGCCTCTAAAACAAGCATCAGAAGACTAAGGTTAACATGCAGTGGTAACATTTGATTTATATTCCTGTGTGATTAAGACCCTTGCCTCTGCAGGCTTCAGTTTCTCCAGTACAAATGCAGTATTTGCCACAGAGCAACATGGAATTCAGCAGAAGTTACAAATCTTTCTTATTATTCCATTTCTGTTCACATCAACTTTGCCAGAGCAAGGAAACAGAGCAGCATTATGAAAAAGACCACTGCAATCCAAACCAAACTGGCTCTAAGGCTTCAAAGTAATCATTGGTTCTCCACTTGCAAAATGTCTCAGAGCAGAGCTCAGCAGTTCAGTGAAGTGAGACAAAGCACTGAGCAGGGAGGGGAGCACCACAGCTGTAAAAAGATGGACCTTTTCTAATTCCTGAGTGAAAGGGCATTCTGCAGCATGGGCCAAGACAGGCAGACACACTCAAATCAAAGACTTGAAATCAAAAAGGTGTACAGATAACTATAAAACAATGATATAAATCTGCATGTAAATAATTACATCATGGATCCCCAGAGGAAAATGTTATTTGATTAGGAGAAAGATAAGAGGGTGAGCATCATGTGAATTGAATCAGCTGTTGAATCAATCCCAATAATCAATCAGTTTCTGTGTTGGAAATGAACAAATCTCAGGGCACGCATCTGCTGAGCTGTTGAAACAGAGGGACAACACTGTTAGCAAAAATAACCTGGCGTGTGTTACAGCACTTGGCTACCAGTAGGTCTTGCAAGTCTGAAACATTTGTGGCTGCTTGTTCCTTATTGAAGACAGCACAATAATCAGTAGAGAAACACTGCGGGCAGGGGTATGGATGCTTTGAAAACAGTAAGGGGATTTGAGTTTAAAGCAACTCAGTACAATGACAAATATTGACAGCCAGGAAATCTACTTCCCTTACAAAGACAGTATGCAGTGCATTCAGAACTTTAATATAAATTGATCATCTTTAGCAAAAAGCTATAGGAATGCCAAGAACATGACTTTAAAATGAATTATGAAAAATTATATCAGCATCTTCAAATAAAGAACTGTATTATCACAGAACTTCATGTGACCAGCATTTAAAGAAAGGTTTTCTTTACAGTTGTCTTGGGCTTAAGCTTTTTTAAAGCAAAATGCAATCCTCACAGTCTCGCTTTTCTCACGACTTAAAGCGCATCTCTGCAATTTCAGTTATCACATCCTGCTTGGGGGTGATTTTGTCTTTGTACTGGGTGCTGGTGGAATCTGCACCATGCTTTAAGCTCTACCAATCCAGGAAAGAGCTGTTTGCAGTTCTGCATGCATACTGAAACTTGACATATTAGGGTTCTTTCCTTGCCATGAAATAGAGTTGAATTACAGTTTTTTAAATGTAAGAATAAAAAGGGAATTTGATGTTTCATTGTGATTTGGCTTCTGAATTTTGAGACAGTTCTTAATTCCTTAGGCCCTGTATTCTTTAGTAGCTAGATTATATTGCAAAAATGAAAAAATTCATGTAACGCAATCAGTGACAGCTGCTTTCCCATCTGTAAAAAGGGGGAATCGCATTATGTTATTATCCAGTATTTGGATTAGCTCATCAAGTCCAGCTGTAAAGCTCAGGTGTGGACCCATGCTTGCGCAGCTTCAGTGGGTTCAGATCCAACCTAGAAAAGACAGCCCAGCTCAGAAAACAGTGTTTCATCTCATATCCAATAACTGCCTTTGCTCCCATGGTCCTTTTGCAGCAGCCAGAGCTAGATCTTCTGACTGCAAAGTTTCATGTTAAATGCAATGGAGTTAGGAAATAGGAGTAATGATGTGATGTTAAATTTGCATCAATATAGCACATTTACAAAATAATGTACTGTTGTTGGATGTAGTATATTATGAACAAAGAGTTCAAGTAAAGGTCTGACTGGTTGTATTCCCTCTGAAAATCCCTTTAAGTAAAGTTCAAATATTCCCTTAAAAATATGAAGTGCCCTTACACCATCTTGCACTACTGCTTGTACTGCTTCTGAACTGGACCCAATTGTTTACATAGGAATTACACCTGGTTTTCCTTGCTAGATAGCCATAAGACACTTAATTCTCCTTCTAGGTTTAGGTTACATCAAGAATATACGTAAACTTATGTAAACAGGGAGACCTGAAACACCAAACATCTCTTTTGGGTGGGACAAGGACTGAAAAGAGGGATTCCAAAACAAGCCACAAGCATACAGCTGATGTGGCTGAGAGAAGCAGACACTTGTTCCTTCTTCAGGACATAAGTCCTTCACAGTGCAAAGCTGGCAGAAACTTCCTAAAACCACCCAGCTGCCAGAGCTGACTCTCCCATCTCTACCTCCACTGCACAGAAAAAACTGTAGGAAGAGGTGGCAGTGCTGTGATGTGACATTACTTTGGTACTTCCAGAAAGGCACCACTAAGCTCCACAGAAATATGCTAATCCTCACTGCTTGTACCGAGACAGAGAAGGGAAAACTTACTAAGGATCTAGGCCAGATCTTTCAGCTGTCCAGTGCTTGGCAGGGAGGGAGAGCAGGAAGAAATCACTAAGCCGCAGACTTGGAAGAAATCACTTCAAATCGTAATTCCCATGTCAAGGCATGACAGAGGCACTCTGGCAAACTTATCTAGATTTTGTTTTCAAGCCTCAGGAGTTGGGCAATAATGTGGGCTGAAGTGGTCCTACCCTTATGCTTTCTAGAGAGCATTTCATTTCGCTGTCTGGTTTCAGTTATTCAGGCTCAATTCAGGCCAAGTTGTCATTGACGTCAATGGGTCGCTTGCTTAAACCAGGAACACAGGAGGGAATGGGACCTCTACAATACCTCATTAGTGATGGTTAAAATGAATTATAAGGCACATGCACACTGCAAAATTAACTGAGCAAACACTCCAAAATCTGTCAGCGTCCTTCTGCTCATATTTAGTCATAAGTCCAGGAATAAAAAAGTCAGTTCCACATTTCTTTGGAGATGTACTGATTACTTCCCTCTTTTGTGGCTTGGAATTAAACACAATGCAGAGGACATTCTATCCATTCAACATATGTCAAAATGATTCATTAAAAACATTTATTTGGAAGAACAGAAGTCCATCTCTCAAAAAAGAAAAAAGCTCCTTTACCTATTCCATAGCACTCCTATTTAAATATTTAATCTGAATTTGGGAATACTTTATTTTTGTTCTCTCCATCTTTGTGCCTGGAAAGAGTTGGTTTCCATCTTGCTTTCATTTATGCTGACAATGAAAAAATACCAGCTTGAAGGAACAAAAGCACTGCTCTTCTCTTAAGGCCCTGTGCCTGTAACAAAAAAATTTGTTCCTCCAGGAACGGATCTTGACAGTTTTTTAAACAAGTAGTAAAATTATCAGCAAATCCATTGAGCTACAGCTATTTCCTTCTGACACTGCTTTTCCCAAAGCTGTAACCCATTCTTTCTGTATAAGAAATAAAACACATTTTAATAGGAACATTTTCCCACCAGATTCAGTAAAGGACATCAGCAGAACTCACAAGTCTGCCGGCAGAGATTAATTGCAAAAAGGCTATCTGTGAACAAGGAATGAGGAGAACATTGAGTTGCAGCAGTCCACATCTATCATATCTGTACACAGTAATTTATGAGGAGGATATGAACCAACAATACCCTGCAAAAATCCTCACTGTATAAAGTAAAGGCCACTTTTATATAAGAGGCTTGTGCTGTGGGGTACAAGCCTTCACAGGAAATACCACCACAGACTGACTGAAGCTCCGCATGGTTCTGTGACATAGCAAACAGTAACACCAACCTTCCCCATGTAAACAACTGTGAACCTGCCCAAAAGAGAGAAAACACCAGCTCAACTAGAAGCACAGGGAATTGTGTTTGCAAATAAAAACTGAATCAGACAAGACGACTTAATAAGAGGAGATACATAGGAAATGTTTGAATATCTTGTTTGCAAGTTCATAGTTTGAGATTTACATATGTGCATCCCTGCACATCATATATTACTGACTTTTTGACTGCAGAATGTTTTTGGACTCAACTAAGTAAATTAATAATCTTTTTCTTTTTGGCTCAGTATACAGAAATTTTTAGTTGAAAGCATTTATGCACAGGAAAAACAGCTATTCCAAAAATATTTACATGTGCAGCTTTGAAATTTGCTTTTCATGTATGCTCACACCTCCACATTTGTTGGCCATTTACTTATACAAAGAGAAAGGAAATTAAATGTGAGTGCAGTGAAAATCAGTCCACATGTGTTCGCATGTTCTTAGGTTTTGGACAGCTTTATGGAAATGATTCCTAACCCACAACAAGCCGTCTTACAACAAGTTCAGAAGACTGGAGAAATAACAACTTTGCCAAGCTAACTTTTCCAGAGGGTTTTCATGAGCGCACATCAAGAGCAGCACATTACACTGCAGGCATAACAGCCTGCTTTGTGCTAACTTGCAGGAAGAATTTAACTGCTTAGCTCTACACAGAATTCTTTGTAGTTTGGTAGCAGTACCAGGCTCTGAGCAATCATTACAGAGGCCGGGAGCACTGCTACAGCACCTCTCCTGGGCTACCTTGCATTTGAAGTCCTGGCAAGTCAAGGCAGAGCCCCTCTGCAGCACGTCCTTCTTGTGCTCAAGGCAAAGCCAGCAGAGGTGCCACACGTGGCTTTTTGCCCCACAGGCACAGCACAGGGATCCGTGCCCAACCCACAGGTAACCAGCTCCGGTCCCCTGCCCCACACAGCTGTGCACGTTCACATTGTGCGCTCTTGAAACAGCATGGCAGTAAAAGCAGTGCTGCAACTGCACCAGAAGCTTTTACTTCTTTAAACTGTGCAAAATACCTCATCCAAAGCTACTTAATCAGGGAGCCTTCCACAGGGAAAGAAACAACTGTATTTTATACCCTGAAGGAAA